AAATCTGTGGATATTTCAATGCTAATCTCAACAAACGAGGAACATTTGCACGCTAAAAACAAAGAGACACTTTTGTTTATCACGCCAAAGAATTTCTGAGACAAGTGTTCGCTTTTGAAAAAGAAATGGACCCATCAAAATGGAAAGAATGCCCTCAAGCTGATCTGAATGAGAGCAAAAAAAAAAAAAACATGTGAAACACTTTTCTTTATGTCAGCCTTTCTAAATTATTTATGCCACATCCAAAACATATTTCACAGGAACTGTCGGGGAAAACGGGGTTTTCTACAGGCAGCACTTGTGAAAGGTCAAAGAATAACTTTCGGTTTTGTCTCAGTAGTTGAAAACAAAGATTTCCAAATATGGCAGCCAACATGTCAGCTGGATTTGATGTCGAATCTACATGACAGTTTCTTCATTACACAAACAAACTGTATGAGTTAATAACAGTGATTCTGTGCTCTTTTCCCCTGCACGATGGAGCTGTAATTTGAACTGACTGATTACATGATGTGATTTTCTATCATGTCTAAAAGCAAGCCTGCCTTGACGTTGACGTGGGCCACTTGTACACGATGGGGGAACTGACATTTTCTTCTTGTGGCAGCTCAGAGTCTCAGCCTTGATTTTAGCCAGAGCGGCAACAGTGACTGTCGTTTGGTCAGAGCCGGATCAGGTCGTACCTGTCTTACTGCATCCTCCTAGTTAGGGACAACATTGTGTGTTTGCATGTGTGTGTATGCGTGTGTGTGGATATAAATCTCCCACTGGAAGAAACATGGATGTTGTTGTTGTGTTAACCTGACCAGAGGGTTGGTTAATGTACACAACATGACAGGGTCTTCAGTTGGAGCTTCAGTTAATACGTAGGAGCAATGAAAAGCATGCACTGTGACATCCAGAGAGCAGGTGAATCCTGCTCAAACCCACCACCGCACAATTCTTGTCACTGCACAGCCAGTGCATGGCTCAGGATTTTTAAAGTAAGCTTCTGTTATTATCTTAACCTGTGTAGATAGTTCATTTGCTGTCTTCATTTAATGAAAATTCTAATGTTGATGAAGTTGCACGTTTCTCTTTATGGGCTTTGACATATGATAATACAAAAAAAAACTGTTTTTCTTGTTTGTTTTTTTACTATTCATTTAATGCACCAAAAGAAACAGCACATATTTTTATGAATTTCTCAACTTGACTCACAGCGATAGGGAAATATATTAGATGCATGAAGCCAGATAATCAAGGTCTTTATTTTCAGTAGGATTCAAAACTATTTCCATCAGTAAACTCATGGCACATTTTTTTTTCTCCTTCATGTATTTAAGTAATCATATTCTATTATATGATTAAAATAAGGGTGGGACTTTGTGAATTATACTTTACTTCATCCCTTAATATTTTAATATTTCTCATTAAAAATTTGAGAAATATATATACATGTGTGTTTGCATGTATGTGTAATTCTAAAACAACCAAATTATGTATATATAGACGTATATAAATCATTGGGGGAAAATATGATTAGTTTAAAACTGTAAAACGGTAATCGGCAGGCCACATATTAAAGAGAACAAGGATTCAGAATTGCCAAGGAAAAACTTGATCAATGCATCACTACTTATAATTTTTAATAAGAACCTACATGTAAAAGACTGTACATGTCTTTTTTGCTACTTAATTTTGGTGTGGCGGCTGTCCTTATAATAAATGAACAAAAATATTATGACACATGAGCACCACCAACTCAGCTTAACTGTGCAGTTCTTCCTGACCCAGGAAGATGATTTCCTTCAGCTTTGCTTCCTTGCACTGATATCGCTCTATTGATTTTGATTTAAATGTCTGTTTCCTATGGTGAGGCTATAATTCAGAGTGTAGCAGAGAGAGGTGACGATAGTGATCGCTTTGACCCCAGACATCTCTCTTAGCCTGGTCTCTCAGATAGTGGAATGCGGGTAAACTAATGATGGAAGGTGAGAAAAACGTGAGGAGGGGATGGGCTTGTTATCAACCCAGAAAGAGGGAAGTAAAAGGAGGAAGTAGAAGGAGCAGAGGAGGGGAAAAAAAATGGAATAACAACTGTGACGTAACAGAGAGTATGCTTTTGGGCTTTTAGCCGAACTAATTCTCACTTTCAGTTTGCCTCGTCTCTTTCTCCCTCTCATCCTCTCCCTCTTTGGCTGGTCCCTTTTTAACAAAGCAGTCTGTGTCCAAACCCTCCTCTAGTGCCACCCCTCCCGACCAAGTCCCTTTTTGGCTGCTCCCTGTATCTCTTCCCCTCCTTTTCTGTTTTGGGGAAATAAAGGTCCACACAGTTGCAGCATTGATGGTCCACACTAAGAGTTCTCCACTACAAAAGGGCTCCAGCTTCCCCCCCGAGTCAGGCCTGAGTTGAATGGGAGCCTCGGGGGTGTGGATGAGAAGCATAGGCTGGAAGAGGCCACCCTGCACAGAGCCACATAAAGGGCCAGTATGCCGGGCTCAGGATGAGAGAGACGTACACCTATTGATTCCTCTCTTTCTTTACCTACCAAAGATTTTTAGATTAGTTTTAAAAACTTTGGGAATGGTCTTAAACCTCAGATCAGTGACTCTCTTTTTTTCCAGCTCAGAGGCCCACAGCATGTCTCGAGTACAGACTGATCTGACAGGACGAGGGTGGGAGAGATGAAGAGCACAAGAAAGCCTCTTCATGGCAGCCTGAATACAGAAAGCCATTTACCGACCACCAGTCCTTGTTTCCGGGGAAGGAGGAAATAAAGAACTGGGGTGGATGAAAGTGAATTATTTCTGGTTACTAGTTCCATATTACTGAATATAACATGATGGTATAATTAAACAAGAACATGGTTAAAAAGAATTTATGCATGGGCCCCCGGTTCTTGCCGGCCTCATCGGGAATTAATAATTAAAGGAAATATCAAGCTGCTTCAAATGGCAACAAAACCATCAGATGTTCCAGGAGCCGGGTCCCTGATATTGGACAACTTGAAACTGAACAAAAACACCCCGGCAAAAAAACGCTGACAATGTTACCTTAGGGGAGATTGTTAGAAACTTACATTTTCATGTCTACTCTTGTAGAAATAATCCTAAAAAATTACTTGATTACAAAATTCCTCTGGGAAAAACCTCTGACTTGATGCTTTTGTTTAATTCAAACGACTCTTTATTAATGGTCACATATTTGATGGGGAACAATTCCTATGGTCACCTAACATGCTTATGTATACATTAACAAGCGTATAGGAGAAAAAAAAAACATGGAGAAAAGACATGCAGTGCCATAAATTTGAGAAAAGAGAGACATACTTAAGGACAACACAGTTGCACTAACTGAGTTAGTGTTTCACAACAAAAAGTTGCCAACAGAACCTCTGCAGACAGATGCTTTTTGATTCTTGAAATGACATTCCCCATGGCTATTTAGTATTTGAGAAACAAGCAGATGCATGCAAATCAGGACATATGATAATGGGCACAACAGATCTGAAACTATCTCAGAGGAGCAGATTGGTCCTGGTATAATAAGGGCAACTAGGATTATAACAATATATCCGGATTCACGAGAACACAATAAGATTTTAGAAATGTATTTGGATAACCTAAAGACCTAAATTTGAGTAAAAGTTTGGCAAATTACGAACTCTGTTCGTGACTCCGAGTTTAACTTGTGCGCACATTTTTTGGTATTTATGCTTGTCTACATCGAAGACGATCCAAATTCAAAGAAGAAAAAAAAAAAAACGTGGAAAATTCTCCTATTTTGTGTTTTCACAAATAGGACAAAGACTCATAAAACTCAAACTGTGTTTCAAAGAATTGCTGAGTGCAGAACCATCCATAAATGTAAAGATTTTTCATTTTTAAGAGCAGGTGATCAAATGCAGCTCAGAGTCGTTAAAAACCGCTGCATCGCCCTGAAGTTTAGGGCCAGTGGAAAGCTACGAAGCAGACTCCAGTCTCAGTGTTTTGCCGGTGCTAATGCACAGAGTGCTGTTGGCCTGTTCAACGAGTCTTTCTTAGCCAACTTGGTCAACACACTTGGCCAGCACTTTAATTACTTCCTTTTATAGATCAAAAAAGTAATATCTTGTACAAAAGTAAAGCTTGAAGCTCTCCCTTTAATTATAGCCGTCATAATAATCATCTATATTATATATCATAATATATCTATATATATATACTGCTGACAGCAGCTGCCTGCCATTTCGCAAGAAAAACCTTACAAGGAACGTTTGGACACTTTGAAACCTAATCTGAGATATTCAGAAATACAAATAGATGTACTTATACATATCCAACTCAGAAAATGTATCATGCACTCATATCCTTTCAAAGTGCTGAAAAAAAAAAAAAAAACACATTCAGTACAAAATTTGATAGCTGTAGCGTCAGAGAAGTGTCCTTGGTTGTACAACATGTTAGATATACATTACGCAGCTTTTACCTGCATTGTGTTGGTATGGTTTTGGAGAAAGGTAGCACACACACACACACACACACACACACACACACACATGCACACAAGCCGAGGCGCTCTTTTGGAAAATGTGGCTTTCGTGCAGCAAAGGCACGAGAAAAGACAAACAACCAACAAAATGTCAAGAGAAAAAATCTGTGCTGCACAAACACCAAAGCTCATCTGACACATATCTAAGCCTCTAAAACCCAGATCTGTTGCTGACAGACAAGAGATTGTTATGGCAGGCAGGGATGAAAAACAAGATACTTAAAGTCAGATCCTGCGGCGCACGTGGCGGCTGCCGGCCATCCTGCATGTGACTTCGGGGCTGCTTAATCTGATAGTGTGATGTGCGTTGGTGGTCAGACGAAACAATCCGAAGGGCTCCGGTGAATGTCAGCCACGGCAGCAACTACAAATGAGCAGTTTACATATGTATGACCCCTGGCACCCGAGTGCCACTCAATCAATCACATGTCGGTAAGGTAGTTGCTGAGTTTTAGCTACGTGGATTTCTTTTGCCTCTGCCTCTCACCTCTTACGGCTCTCCTTTTTGCCGAATCCGTGTCATGTTTCACGTCTTCCTCCTCTTGGCGTCTTGCTCTGTTCTCCATACCTACCTCCGTTTCCCTTCTCCACCTCCCTACCTAACGACCCTCTCTCTTCTCACCATCTCACAGCAGCATCTTCCCTTTCACATAATAGCACAGACAGAATGCTCAAAGACACTGAAATGCGTTTACATGAAGGGGAGCTTTGCATCTCACAGCTGGTGCGGAGGCGGGCCTGCTTGCTTCCACAGGAGGAACGGGAGAAACTGGTGTTTGAGAGTCACAACTGTGAGGTTAAGCAGCACTTTGGTTCCACTTGGATGTACGTACACAGTGGGAAGATTTTCATTAAGAACACTGTGCTTTAACGAACAGTGTGATATTCAAATGTAATGCATATATGTGCAGACGTGGACACGTTTTGTTGGTAGCGTTAGAGCTCAGTAAAATAATCCTTCATTTGTGCTGAAACGTGATTTCATTAGCGACAACTGACCAGGGTACGTCTGAATTCATTTAAAATGTAATGGAGTAAGCAAATACAATTGCTAAAAGAAAATAATTAATTCATCCTTGAATTGTGTTCCTCATATTTCAATGTTTACAACCAGCTACTCAGCTAATTTAACTGGAACTAAAATGCTACTAGATAGTGTAGTATCGTTGTGGCCATTGCACTGAACACTGGGAAAACAAACTTAAGTCACAGACAGGAAAAATCAATATAGAGGATCCTATACAAGCAGTGTTTGGTCTAAACAGCATGACTTCACTTATATTCTCCTTTTCAAGAAAGAAAACATAATGCCATACTGGCAATCCTGGAGAGACTGGACACAGCACCCACTGATGTGATTCACAGGAAGACAAATCTGGCACTCGTCTACAAAAGAAATGAGGAAATGCCGCGTTTCAGAAAATAGCAACGGGCAGCATCGAGTGGCGCTCGCAGATACTTGTGGAGTTAACCAGAGGCGGAGATCCAATCATTAATGCTGACACGTAAACTTTTGATGCCCATTTTGATAAGGCAGAAAATGCAAATGTTTGAATAAGGAAGCCATTGAACTCCAGAGTCACTTTCATAAGTCCATGGAAGAAGACCCATGGCTTCACTATTGACAGAGACACAAAAATACCAGTTTAGAATTAGCAAAAATTGTGAGAGATAAAGAGGGCTCAGTTTTGTTTTGTGACCAGATCTGACAACATTAAAATTCGCAGCGTACAGTGAAGCCTCCAGACTACCAAGACATGCTGAATTAAAGCATACTGCTCAGTCCAGTGTTGGCAAGCTCAGCTTCGGCTGCAGGTGATGGATCCTCCAGCAAGACAATTACCCAAAGCATGCAGCTGAATTCACACAGGAACTGCTAAGATAGAAGCAGTGGAATATTCTTAAAAAGTCCATCCAGATCTGAACTGAATCGATAATGGAGAAACGAGGAGAAATCAGGTGCCGACTGGAATTGCACAATTTGCCAATATGAGCAGTGACTGTCCAAGAACTCAAAAGTAAAATTTTTGATTGCAAAGTCCTGAAGCGCTACCAGGTCATAACAATATTTGGTGTTAAATGTGGTTACTGAATGAAAAAAACTTTCTAAACCCTACAAGTAAAGTTGGATCAACCTGTACAGTAGACAGTGATTGTTGCAAAAGATCAAAAATAATAAATCAGGATGCCATCTTTTTTGACCATAGCATTCTGTTTTTTTTAATTCTTTGAAAAATTACGTTGAATCAACAGCCTAAAGGTACAGTCTAATTTATGTTAAATGTGGAATAAAAAAAAAGTAATGAATGCCTACACACATTTGTCATTGTCAAGTTCTTTCACTGATATCTTATTTTATTATTGTGGATAGGTTTATATATATATATATATATATATACACACACACATACACTTTCCTGGTGTAATCAACATCATTTGTCCAAAACATCACACCTTCGGGGTGCCTTGTGTGATGTTTTGGCCTGTGGCAGAACAACTTCAAAGACGTTGCATGAAACATGACATGCAAGCTGGGATGATGTAATTTCAGGGTGTGGTGAGAAAGTTTAGGAGCTCAGTGTGCACTGATGCGCTGTGATACCACGGAAGAGATCAGAGCCCCAGCTTATCAAAGCACATCACAGGAGCAGAGCAGGAGAGAAAGGTCATCATTTAAAGGATCTTCAAAGCCCAAATCCTCTTCTCCTCAGGTTAGAGTAGCTCTGGTATCTAGCTGTAATGAGCTTAGTCTTGGTTGACACTTCCACACAAGAACTCGAGAAGCCAATCCACAAGGTATTCTTGCAGCTTTTATTCTGGATACCATAAAACCTGTCGCCTTACGTTTGCTCATTTGTAAAATCCTGACAACTTTACTTGCAGATCCATAGCATCAACTTTAATAGAAGCTAGCTGTATTCTTTGAGTTCAGCAGTCATATGTGGCCCAGAATGAGTGATCTTTGTTTGTCTTTAGACAGTGAGTGTACTTTTGTGAAAAAAAAAAAAAACAACAACAAAAACATTGCACCTCTGCCAGTGAGGTTGCTCTCCGACTGATAACTTCCTACTAGTTTACAGGGAGAAATGATTTGCTCAGAGAATATGGTTTCTGATGCATATATTTATGTTGAATATAAATTTCTCAGACCTCTGGTCTGGGTACATTGCAAGTTGCCACAGTAGAGATAAAATCATTTTTTTTTTCCATATTGGGAAATACAAAAAAATATATCTATCCCTTGAAATATCTTTCAAGCAAAATGTCTTACAGTACACCATGTTTTACTTGCTTGTCAAAATCTAAAACGATATGAATAAACTGAATTTTCACATCCTGCTGTCATAAATAATAATAAAAAAAATGAAGTAGAAGCCAGATGCTGTTAATCAAATGCATTGATTACCTGATCATCACCGTCATTAAGTCTCTGCAGCAGCATATTAGTGCAGGTTTCCGCAGTTTTCTGGTACGAATTCAGAGAAACTGTTGAAGCAGATGTTGCCCAATCAATCTACGAACGTTCACAATTCTTCATCTTGTGCGGCAAAAACCAGTTTCCAAACGAAAAGCGCTTAAGAGGCTGCAGCCTGCACTCTGACAATCTTTCCTGAAGTGGAGATTTCAGCCCGATTAAATCAAACTGCCTAACAGTTAACATCAACTGTGGTGAAAGGATGATGATTGGTGAAGGTATTGATTGTTGTCAGGTCAATAAAGACTGTTTCATTGATTATTAAGAGTGGTATAACTCAGTTTAATTCAATTCATTTATTTATGTAAGGGTAACGCATAGCAAATATCATCTAGAGACACGTAAAAAAAAAAAAAAATAGTCAGTTCATTCCAACCACTGAGAAAGATTCAAAGTCAGTTCCATGCATTCCAGTTTGGTTATCAAACAATGCAATTAAGTTCAGTTTATTATTAAAATTGATTACAAACTGTTCTAAGGAAACCCATCTGATTGCTTGGAGTCACTCACTTACACCATTCACTCCTCGTGGAAGAACATGCAGCAACAGTGGACTGACGTTCGCAGTGTGTCGTTGACTTAGCAGCAATCCCTCACACCGAGCATGCATGTAGCAACAGCTGGAAGAAACCTCCAGCAGAACTTGGCTCAGTGTGAGCGGCCATCTGCCATAACTCAGTCCACAAACATCTTTGACATGCTATTTCCAATAAAATGCTACATAAAAACAGATGATCTGCTTCTCAGCTGTCATTTTGAGAATGCTCCTTTGTGATTCACTATCTTGATGAAATGAAAACGATTTTAAATCTAAAACCTTGGGCTTTAACAGTGCCATCAGTAAACGGGACCACTGAGGCGAAATTAAAGCACATTTACCCATCTATAAATCTGCAACAGAATCGCAGTAAAAGAGAAGAATCTACACACTACAATGTCTGATCATTCCTGAAATGCAACTTATATCTTCATCTGTCATTTAATGATGCCACCCCACCACCACCGCATTTTGCAGTGTGAATAGTGTTTTAAGGTGATGTGCAATGTTCGTTTTGAGCCCAAATCATGTTTTGTGTGTAAGCAAAAAGTTACATTTCTGTCTCACCTGGACAGATGAACATGTTTGCTGTTTTAGTTGTGGTTGTAACACAACGACATATTTTGACTACTTTGCCAGAAATTGCAGATGTGCACTAACATAAACAGGCCTTTACTGAGATTCTAAGTGAGAGTCGTAGTGGTTTGAAATATGAGCCTAATAAGCATAAAGACAATTTCAGATTGGATTAAAATTGCTGATTAAAAAGAAAAAAAACAACAACATTTAAATAGTTACATTTAAGTCAACATTCTTTCAAAATCATGAAAGAGACCCAGGATAAATTAGGGCTACCTAAAAACAGCAGAACACAAACACTGCCTATCTATGAAAAGTCTCTGTGTTTAACCTATTTGGCTTTGAATTTCAACTATGTGTACATGAAAGCGTAAACTGAGGTGCAATCGATGTGGGACTGACTGTGCAGCAACTGTGTGCATAAGTGAATGGGAAGCTTTCCAACAGAGTGTGTATGAGTATTTTCTTGTTTTTTGTTGTTGTTGTTGTTTTGGCATGAATGCCAATGTGTGTAGCATCGTGCAAGTGTGGGGTGGTGGGGAGCATTGCAGTGAGGGGGGTATGGATATTAATCACCAGGAGGAGCATGGTTCTGTGTTGCCACCCGGAGATGGATGGGGTGTGAGTGCAGTGATGTCACCCTGACAAATGGACCGGCCATGTTGGCTGAGACTCGCACATCGCCTCTCATTTCAATTAGTTCGTTGCACAACAACCTGGCTAGCCCACAATCTGCAGGTTACACATGCACAAACACATACTCCGAGTCCAAAAGCACACCTCCTCCAGTGCTTCAGCCCACAGCTCTCTAACAAGATGCGCTGATCTGTAAGAATACAGTGGAGTGTCTTTAATTAATCTTACTCAATTATGATGGCACTTTTGCGTTCCCTCGCAACAGCACTCACTCATTACCATGCATAATATGGTCCAAATGCACTGACTATGTTGCATGGCCAACACACAAGCCAGTG